AGCTCATTTTATGTAGCCTGATGTTGCAGGCCTATAACCCCCAGCTGTCTGAGTGGCCAACCTGGGCAGTTAGTGAGAATCTGACTCTTACAAGTATAAGGAAAAGTCTTTATATAGCTCAGTGCTACAATATTTTAGTTCCCAGTAAGAAAATAAGGCATTTTCTAAACATTGCATGATACAGACAAGTGTTGAATTGAAATAACTATGTTGTACTTCATAAATAACTAGTTATATCAATAAAATACTTAAAAAGTAAAAATTTCAAAGGCAGACCAAAAAAACCCCAACAACATAGGCTGGACTATGCATGTGCATGAAGCCTGAGTTCAGTGTAGTGCGCCTGCCTGTGACCCCTCAGGAGGTCGGGGTAGGGGACCAAAGTTCAGGGTCATTCTTGACTTTGTATTTACTTATTTATAGTTTTTCTTTCTGTGTAGCCCTGCCTATCCTGGAACTTGCTCTGTAGACCAGGCTGGCCTTGAACTCACAGAGCTCCAACTGCCTCTGCCTCTCGAGTGCTGGCACTTACGGCATTGCGTCACTACTGCCCGTCCTTTGTAGTGAATTTGAGGTTAGTGTGGGAAAAACCAGACGAAGCAAATGAAAATAAGGAACCTACAAAGGCCTCTAGAAGTTCTGAGACCAATGCAGGCAGTCACTGCGGTGCATCGCTGTGGTGTGTCACTGCTGCTTCCTTTGCAGGAAGACAAGTGGAAAGCTCGCCGAAGCATTGTCACAGAAGGCCCGGGCAGTGCTGTTCTTGATTGGAACCACGTGAGAGTGTGAAAACACAGGAGGTGTTTTATAGTTGTTAACACCATCAGGCTAGTTCTGGATATGGCTATTTTGCTTTAATATTTTAGGTTTTATTCTGAACTTAATTTTGGATGTTGTTATTTTGTCTTCTTGAGCCAAGATTTCTCTAGATACCCCTGATTGGCCTTGAACTCCCTATATGTGGACCAGGCTAGCCTCAGACTCACAGAAACCCACCTACCTTTGCCTCCTGGGCACTGCAAATTTAATTTGTACCCATAGAAAACAATTTCATTCTTCCTTTCTCTATACTGACATGTTTTAGCAGGTACATGCAGAAACCTCATTTAGTTATCAAATGCATTAAGAACCCTGGCAGCAGTGACAGATGCCTCCCTCAGATTGCCCTCAGTTCCTGTGTTAACCAGCTCTTTTCCTTTTCCAGTACCGTTTCTTTGACATCTCCTCCTGCAGTCACTTTGCTCGTAAGGAGAGCTTGAACAGCTTCAGCTCTTCTCAGACTCCTAAGCAGGACTCGAATTACTTAGCTCTGGAATTGTTCCTGGTGCAGCCCTAACGGATTCCGAGGGTTAGGCCCGCCATTATGGCTTCTGTGTTTGGGATGCTCTTCACTTAGGACATGGGACCTGGATACAAAAATAAACATTCTGCCTAAAAGCACCAAGTGCCTAAGTCTGTTGTCTAGGCAGCTGCTAACCAGCTACATTTCTATAAAAATAAGTCCTTTTCATGAAACTGTGGGAATAGCTAATTCTGGCCTGATGTGCAGTGTGAGGTTAAAAGCATGGCAACATGTCACAACACAATTCTTGTTCTTTTTGCTGTGGGCTGACTCTACATTGCTTGCTTTGTTTGCTCTAGAATGGAATCTACTCACCATTTATTAAAATAAAATGTGTTTCTTGGGGGAGGCAAAGTCCAGTTCACTGGGTCTTGCATCTTAAAGAGAAAGGAGCTCCACTCTCGACTGACTGTTAGGGATCCCGATTTCAGTCCTGGGACATATTTTTCATACCAGAGCTTGTTTGTGTCTTAGTTTAAATACATTAAAGTGTCAGTATCACAGAAGTAAGCATTAGAAAGCTTAAGTAGTAGACTTTGGATTTTGACAAACCCGGTCACTCCCTTTCATTGGGCAATCTACTTCAACTCCAGTTTCTTGGGGGAGGGAGCCCGTGAAACTTAGTTGCCTAGTTGTGCATGGAAAGTACCTACCTGAAATACCTGTACATGATTTCTACTGAAATCACTGTTTGGGTTCCTGTTAGAAGCCAGCAGTGCCCTCAGGCTCCATGGGAACGGTGTTGAAGAAAGACCACCATTCAGTAGCTCTAGGTCCTGTCACTTGTCACTAGTAAGCCTGGTGCTGCTGGCACAGTATCTGGGTGCCTTTGGTTTCCTCAGGGAGCTGGCTATTCTTAGTCACTGCTGACTAAAAAGAAGCTACATTCTAGTTTCAGATTGGTCAGTATCTACTCCAGAGTTCAATACGTTTTTTCAAAGTGGTTTTTCTGAGCTTCTGGAAGTTCAGGGGAAGCCCTTGGAATCTCTTGTCATGTCTGTTCTTAAAACATAAGCTTTTCCTAGAGTTTAATGTGCATTGGTGTTTGGCCTGCGTATATGTCTGTGAGAGTGTCGGATCCCCTGAAATTTGAGTTATAGACAGTTGTGAGCTGCCATGTGGGTGTTGGGAATTGTACTAGGTTTCTCTGGAAGAGCAACCAGTGCTCTAAACCTCTGAGCCACCTCTCCAGTCCTTTTCCTAGAGTTTTTATAGCACTCTGCTTAATTTATGTTTAAAGAAATTTTATGTATTGCATTGAAAGATTTCAGTTGATTCTTAGTCCTGCAGGTGAGGGAGGTTATTCCTGGGTTCTTTTAATAGCTGGTGGCCTTTTTATAACATTGCAACAGTTGGTATAATAAGATTTTCAGGCAGATTTCCACCCAGCACAGTTTAAATCTGTCAACATTAGTAGGTCACCCATTTTCCTTCTCCTTTCTTCTAGCAGTCTCTTCATGCTAGTGGAGCTTCCCAGGACAGTGTTGGGGAAGTACAGAAAAGGGAGGGCAGCTTGTGCCAGTTTGTAGTTTAAAATTTGTAAGAAACGAATCACAAATCTCTCCTGTGCTGTGTCACAGAGTCAGGCTACAATTCCCATATCATGACCAGTGTTAACTGTTGCTGCTGCGGATGTGGCTCAGAGGCACAGTGCCTTCCCAGCTTGTACTGGACTTGATCCCCAGTACCAAAGGGGCACACCAACAACTATGACTTTTGTCTCTCCTCCAGGCAGCCCTGAATTTATTTCCCTTTTGTATATGTGGCAGATAGGAAAGGAGACAAAGTTTTTAAAAGAAGCATGCTTAGACACTCAGTTATGCTGCAGTAAAGAGACATCTTTGTCATTGGAGTTGGGAAGTATAATGTTTTGAGTACTTTTTTTTTTCTCTCCCTCCTAGACAGGATTTTATTATGTATCCCTCACTGGCTTGGAGCTTCTATGTGCTATTAGACCAGGCTGGCCTCAAAATCACAGAGCTCCACCTATCTCTGCCTCCTGATTGCTGTAATTAAAGATGTGCACTACCACACCCAGCTGCTTTGGGATACTTTTGATAGACATTTCTGGTTTGCTGTTTTGTTGTGTCTTGACTTGAACCCAGCCAGTGGGTGGATGGTGAAAAGGTCAGCTAGCACCACACAGATGAACATGGTGGGAAGAGGGAACACTGGGAGATAAGTACTTCCTGCAGTGTTCCGAGTCTCTGCTATCACAGCTCCATCTTCTCTCTTATGCACCAATATGCTTTTCACTCCTTTGTCACATGCTTTCCACTGTTCTTCCAGTGACGAGGGGGGAAAACACTTTTCAGAAGACTAAATTATTAAGAGTCTTAAGGCTGTGTCCCATTTCATATTGAGAAATTCCACTGCCCCCAGTGGAATTACCTGAAAATGTTTCTCCTAGAAGTTGCAAATAAAGAAGCATCATAGTTTATAATCCTTGCACTTGGGAGGCTACAACAGAATTGCCACAGAGTCAAGGCTACATGGTATGACACTGTCTCAAACCCAGCCCTTCAAAAAACAGGACCAAGGGGCCTGGAGAGATGGCTCAGTGGTTAAGAGCACTATCTGCTCTTCCAAAGGTCCTGAGTTCAATTCCCAGAGACCACATGGTGGCTTATACCCGTCTGTAATGAGATCTCATGCCCTCTTCTGTTATGTAGGCATGCATGCAAGCAGAGTACTGTATAACTAATAAACAAACAAATCGTTTTTAGAAAAAACAGTAGTTGTGATTTAACTGGAAATGTCAGTGTTGGCTTTCAGTGGCTCACTTAGAAAGCATGTGTGTAGTGCACACAAGGTCCTGAGTTTGAGCTCTTAACAGAGAGGAAAAGGAAAATGAGCTTATGAAGAATGTTGGAATGTCTAAATGTCTCACTCTAGACTAGGAAACAAGCAAGATGAAAGGCTACAGCATGAAGTAGTGTTATTTTTGTTGTTGTTACTCTTTCAGTGGTGTTTTTTATGTGTTATAAGTGTTTTGCCTACGAGTATGGATGTGCACTATTTGTGTTCCTGATGCCTTCAGAAGTCAGAAGAGGACATCGGGTCCCCTGTAGCTGGGGTTACAGATAGTTGTGAGCTACCATGTGGGTGCTGAGAATTGAACCCAGGTCCTCTAGGAGAACGTCCTCTGTGCTATCTCTCCAGCCCCAGGTTTGGTTTCTTCTGAGTAGATCTGAAGTAACAAAGATGTCCCCAAACTTGACACGTTACCAGGATTGAAATTCCGATGTCCTGACTGTATATCCCAAGTGCTAGGATTGCAGGCGTTTGACACCTGGCAGGTTTTGTTTTATCGTGTTCAGTCTTGCTCTGTAACCCACGCTGGCCTGGAACTACTATGTAGCACAGACTAGCCTCAAAATCACAGCAGTCCTGTCTCAGCCTCTCCAAATTGTAGATTTCAGGTGTGAACCACCATACCCAGCTGAAAGCAATTTTCTTGATTTAGTTTGAATGTCTCTGCATAGATAGTGAATGGGTTGCATTATTTCAGTAAACCTACTTTGGGTCCATCAGATTGTTGGACAGATCTATAAATTAATTCATTATCACACTAACTTGAAGCTTGGCTCTAGACCTAAGACTGTCCTGTGAGACCATTCCTGAAGAATAGTAATGTGATTCTCCTTTTTCTTTTCAGGAAAGCAGAATCCTTCAAGGAACAAGGGAATGCATACTATGCTAAGAAGGACTACAACGAAGCTTATAACTATTACACAAAAGCCATAGGTGAGAAGGACCTGGTCATTACAGTAGACACAGTCATTTGCCAGGCACTGTTGTAAGTGGCTGCTGCCTAGCAAGTACTTCTTCAGCCTCGTGTAGTGGTGCTCGCTTTTAATCTCAGCACTGGGGAGGCAGAGGCAGGCAGATCTCTGTGAGTTTGAGGACAGCCAGGGCTACACAGAAACCCTGTCTCGAAAAACAAATGAGCAAAAAGAAGCAAGCACTTTTACTGAGCTGGTGGGCTCATGGCTCACTTGTCTCCCGGTCAGTTCTTTTCCTAGCTGAGATGTCCGACACAGGTATCTCATTGTTGGTGCTTCCTTCTCTACCTTAGGGAGTGGCCATTGAGGATAAAATTGAGTCTTATCTCTATGCTCTTAATATGCCAGCATGTTTTATTTATTTTTAACACCAGTTCCTGTAGACCAGCATTGAACTTGCTTATAGTTGAAGATGACCTTGAACATAACACAGCATTGAACTCACATAAATCTCACAAACATGCCTAAGCTCATTGGCCTCCCTGCCCCCAAAAGACAGTTGGCGCACTTCAAAGCCATAACTTTTAAGATTTATTTATTATGTATGCAGTGTTCTGCCTGCATGTACACCTGCACTCCAGAAGAGGGTCTCATTATAGATGGTTCTGAGCCACCCTGTGGTTGCTGGGAATCAAGACCTTTGTAAGAGCCAGTGCTCTTAACTTCTGAGCCATCTCTCCAGTCCTCCAAAGCCATAACTTTTTGTTGTTGGTATTGTGTTGTGTTGTGTTGCTTGGGGTGAAATCAGACGTTTCTGGCGTTCCTGCGTAAAAATGCTCTACACTTGTACTACAGGCCAGCCCCTAAAAAGCCGTAACTTTTAAAACTGGAAAACACATGTTTTCCAGTGACCTAAGAGAAAGTTGCATACAGTCCAGGGTTTCAACTTGCTCTCTACTCCCTATTTTACCTTCGAACCTTTTATTTATTATGTTGTTGTTGTTGTTGTTGTTGTTGCTGGAGAGTGCATGTGTGCAAGTGCAGTCCCTGCCCTAGCACGCGTGTGGAAGTCGGAGGATAACCTGCTGGAGTCAGTTGCTTCCTTCAGCCAGGTGAACGATGTGGAATCTAACTTGGGACATCAGCCTTGATGACAAGTGCCTCTACTTGCTGGGGCTGGCCCTGTTTGTTCTCTAAGTTAACTTTATCTTCAAAACAAAAGACTTGGAAATAAAAAGACATACTGAAATTAACCGGACCCTACAGTTAGGTGAGCATTCTGAAGCTGTGGAGTGTCACATTAGAGTGTACACTTTTACTGTCAAATACATTTTTAATGCACTTACCTACCACCAAAGCCAAAAATCTCCATGACAGAAGTATTTCTAGAAAAACAATTAGCTTTATGTTCTCTTTTATAACTCATGTCTGATATCTGCATTCAGTCTTTACTCATGCCCAAATATTTACCTTTTCTTTCTATTCTGTTTTCTGCATGTTACACTATAGCTTCATGTACAGTTGTTTACACATATACATAATAGCCTAGGATCT